TTGGGAATAATGAGGGCAACAAATGTATAGATGTGTTTTACACAATTGATCTATGTATTGTGATGAATTGTATGAGCCCCAATAAATTGATTTAAAAAATAATAAAATAAATAAATAAATAGACCCACCAAAAAAAAATGGACACAAGATATGAATAGACAATTTACTGACGATGACGATCAGGTAGCCAACCATCATATGAAGAAATGTTCATCTTCATTAGCCATAACAGAAATATAAATGGAAACAATAATAAGATACCACCTCACACTGACAGTCTTAGAAAAATTCAAGAAAACCCAGGAAATAATAAATGCTGGAGGGGATGTGGAGAAATTGGAACACCTATACATTGATGGTGAGATTGTAGAATTGTACAAGCACTATGAAAGTCAGTATGGTGCTTCCTTAAACAAATGCAAACACAAATATCTTATGATACTGCAATCTCGCTACTTGTTATATTCCCTAAGGACATAAAGAACAAAACATGAACAGACAGCACGCACAGCCATACTTATCACACAATTTCTATAATAGCAAAGTGATGAAAACAATGGAAAACCTCATCGGGAGAAAAATGAATAAGCAGACAGTGGTACATTCACAGAATGGCATACTATGTATCCTTTAAAAACAATGATGAGTCTGTCAGCCACCTTAATACACAGACAAAATTAGAGAATATGATGCTCACTAAGTCAGTCTCATAAAGATAAATGTTTTATGATACCATTATAAAGGAAAAAAGAAAAATTGGGAAAAAATTGTTTTTACAACAAAGGAAAACAGTTTAAAGGCTACAATGAGGCCAGGTTTGTTGTGGGGAGAGGGAAAGGACAGGAAAGGAGGGAGGGAGGGAGAAAAAAGAAAAGGGGAAAAAAAGAACCATATTTACAGAGGTTTAATGACATTGCGACTACATATTACTATGTTTCTCTTTGTGTGTATTATATTCCACAAACAAATATATATATATATAAAGATGAATAAAATTAACGCGAGAGAGGGAAGGGTCACAGCCTTAAAACCCCCTGCAGATCCCTTACCCATCAGACCTAACCCCTTGCAGATCCCTTACCCATCAGACCTAACCCCCTTGCAGATCCCTTACCCATCAGACCTAACCCCTTGCAGGTCCCTTACCCATCAGACCTAACCCCTTGCAGATCCCTTACCCACATCCAGAACTAAACCCCTTGCAGATCCCTTACCCATCAGACCTAACCCCTTGCAGATCCCTTACCCACATCCAGAACTAAACCCCTTGCAGATCCCTTACCCATCAGACCTAACCCCCTTGCAGATCCCTTACCCACATCCAGACCTAAACCCCTTGCAGATCCCTTACCCATCAGATCTAAACCCCTTGCAGATCCCTTACCCATCAGACCTAACCCCCTTGCAGATCCCTTACCCATCAGACCTAAACCCCTTGCAGATCCCTTACCCACATCCAGACCTAAACCCCTTGCAGATCCCTTACCCATCAGACCTAAACCTTGTTCTGAACGGCTATAAAAGGAAGAAACGTAAGAGTGAGAATGACTGGGATACTTTTGTGACACACAGGGTGGTTTCAAACAAACAGAAAGAACAAAGTTACAAAATCAGAGAGAAGTTAGAAACCACATAAAAAGAAACAGAAATCCCTAAGATTAATACTAAGATTTCAGAAATATATAATAGATTAAAAGGGCAAAGGTGAACAATTGAATTAATCGAAGTATAAATTAATGAGCTAGATGACAAATCTCTCTATTTTTTTTCTTTGCCTTCAAACAATTGCTCAAAATGACCTTTTCCCTCTGCTATTCTGTTGTTTTCCTCTAGGGTTATACGGACATACCTATCTCAACTTCCAAAGATTAAGGCCAGCATTCATAATTTTTCTTTGGATATCCTTAGTGGACTGAAGAGAATACTGTTACTCACACACATCCAGGTTCACAGACAACACTCAGCCTACACACATGTCCAAGTCTGCAAAGAATACCATCACACACACACCTGCCAAGAAACTGTCAGTGCCCTCTGCTTCAGTGTTTACCTTATCCCAGTCCACTTTCTCCACATCCACCAGGATTCGCATGAGCTCTGGAATGGCGAGGGCTGGGTGGGTGTCATTCAGCTGGATGGCCACCTGAAATTGACAAGCAGGTAGATCCTGAGTCAGCACCCTGCTCTTGACACCTGCTGGTTGGGGAAATGAGTTCTTCCTGGGAGTACTAAGGCTTCCCTTCTCTGAATGAGGAGACAGACAGGAAACCAAGGGGTACTATATAGGTTCATGGTAGAGCTGGGGCAATAGTGCCAGGAATTAGGCATGATAGTGAAGACAGTGGAAAGCTTTCTCAGAAGCAGAGGCTTCTAGAGTCTCAAAGATCTTGAGGGAAGAGGGGGAGTCAGGGTTGGAAGACAAGTGTCCTTGAGAGGCTTTGAGCTGGATCCTCCCTTACACATATAACCCTCATCCCTGATTCCTTTCCACATGGATATGATGTCTGTTCAAATGACCTAGGAGGAAACTGCCTCTTGGCTGTGGTCCCATAATGGCAAAGGCCATCCCACCCCTTGATTTGCCTGTCTGGAGAGGGAACATGCTGCACATGCCCTGCCCCGATGGTCTCAAGCTCCACCCTCATGTATGCAATTACCTTATCTGGAAATGTCTCGAAACAGGTTCTGATAGGGTCTCGGCAGCCAAACTTAGAAGACTTGAAGCGGCGGATGATGTCCTGTAGGGTGGCGGCCACCACAAAGTACTCCTGCTTCAGACGCAGCTCCTTGCCCTCAAAGAACTAGACACACAGGTGTCCTCAGTCTACCTGCAGCCACAGGCCACCCAACATGCTGCCACCCCACACTGAGAGACTCATTCACATGGGAGGGCCTAGTCCAAGGGATAGCACCAAGTACCTATAAGGCCATACATTGTACCAAGGTTCCCCTACCTTCTGAGTCTCCAACTGGAAGTGGGACCCAAGTCTTTCCCCTCAGGAGACCAGGGGTCAGGAGAATGTGCTCAGGTTCTTGGTAGAAAAATGGTGAGTAGCCTAAAGTGTGGTGTACCACTTAGCCTCAGACATGAAGGTAACGTGAAGATAGCGTGGCCCAGACCACACTGCCTATGCGCGAGCACACCGGGCATGGGATGTGCAGTGCATCAGCAATGAGAATGCACAGATATGACTGATGCCAGTCACTAAGAAACCACAAGTTCAGAAGTGCAGAAATCATAAATATGCTTTTGTACTCAAAATTGAGAATCTGCTTAAATGCTCTTGGGAGCTGGAAAGGAATGGTGTGCTTTGTTTAAGACTTTTGGTATCAGTGTCCCTTTGCCACCGTGTGCATGCATTATTTTGATAGAGTAAAAAAGGTGAATTTTAAAAACATACAACCCACTAAGGCATGCCAACTCTGTGGACTCTTGTCATGCAACAACAACCACCATAACTAACTAAATGAAAGCCACTAAAAGTAAGTCCAGTGTCAGAGACTGTGGGCTGCCATGACCATCTAGTACACTAAGCACAGGCCAGGTTATAACTGCTGTGTGCTTCAGAGCACCATGGCCAAACAGGTGGTGCAGCTCTGCTGGCAATAGCTGCCCAGCTAACTCTGAGAAAAGCTTTGCTGTGTGGCTAGAAATGGCTACAGTAGGCCTGGGCCTGCCCTTTTCACCTGGTACCCCATGATGATCCATCCTCCAATCCCTTGCCCCATCTCTGCACTGTTCCTTTGCCCTCTCTCCACTACCTAGCCCTATACGCCATGGTTCTCTCTCACCCTATCCCTGTCCCCTGTCCCCATATCTCCTCTCACAACACCCCCCCCCATTCCATGTCCTTGTAACCTGTTCCCATACCCCATCACCATTCCTTATCCCATACTACAACCTTACCCCATGCCCCTTTGCCCCTTTCTCTCTATCCTATCCTATCCTATCCTATCCTAGAAATGGCTACAGCAGACCAGAGCCTGCCCTATACTACATGTCCTTCACACTCTATCCCCACACCTCTGTCCTTGGCCTGTTCCTCATACCTTATCCCTGTACTTAATGTCCAAACTCCCATTCCTGCAGCCTCCTGCAACACCCCTCCCTGCCCTGTCCTACATCCCATGCCTGTACCCTGTATCTACTCTGCCATATTCCTACCCTGTCTTCAATGTGCTCCTCCATGCAGTACCATTTGATCAGACAGAACCCTGCTCCTCACCAGCCAAGATCCTGGAAGGCCCTGGATTTACAGTGGGGATTTAGACATGTGGTAAAAGGCAAAGGACCCCCTTACAAATTCTTAGGGAGAGGGGGAGCAGAAGAGAGACCTGAACAGGAATATTACTTGATAAAGTGCTATTATCCTAGTTCCCCAACAGTATAAACAGTGCTTACAAATGTCAACACAGAGCTGAAGTTGGCCAGTTCAATATCTCATCTCTCAACTTAAGCTCAGTAAACAGGTTCTGCTCAGGGGGTCCTTTAGCCTCTGGTTTACTTTTTCACACATGAAGAAGGCACAGTGTAGACAGGAGCCAACTACACCTACTACTTACATTATCATTTGGGTAGAGGACTCTGGAGATGTTCTCAGCCAAGTTCCGATCCAGGACAGCCTCTATATAGTCACCCACATTGACTAGATAGAGACAAGCTTGGGGTTAGTGTCTAAAAGAACTCTACGTGGCTCAGAAACATGAGCCCCACAACTGACTAGTCATTCATACGGTAGATGTTAGGACATGCATTCCTGAATAGAACATCCTCTCTTGCCCACTCCCCAAACTCTTGCTCTGCTTCATCTCATAGTCTGCTCCTGAAGGGGGCACTTGGTACTCTCACCAGTAGCTTTCAGGGGTAGGCCTCCACACATGCTACAGTGCCCCAGCCGGCACAGCCCTAGACTGACTGCCCTCTCTCACGGAGAGTTGAGATGAGCGAAAACTACCCAGTCTTGACCTGGCCCTCACTGGGAGTTTACTGGCTCCCAGTCTTGCCAGCCGGCTTAGAGCCAGCTTGGGCTAGGGTGCCTGCAAACATTCTCCAAGGGGAGCCAAGCACTCCCCCCACCCCAAAGGAGCACCTGAGTCTGAAATTGAGCCCACAGTCTGAGCTACCCAGGTGGAGACAGAGGGATGGGGGCACTTACAGTCATGGAGCTTGAAGCTGTTAGGCGCCTTGGCAGACCACAACCGCATGGTGTTGACAGTGTTGTTCCTGTAGCCGGGCACTGGTGTGTCATAGGGCATGGCCAGTACTACCTGCAGAGGAAACACCCAGGGTTCTGGCCGCTTATCTCAAAAATCTTTCTTTGGCAAAAATTTTTTAAAAGTGAAAATAACAAATGCTGGATAGGAGGTAGAGAGATTGGAACCCTCACACACTGCTGGCAGGACCACAACATTGTGCAGCCACTATGGAAGGCAGTTTGGCACTTCCTTAAAGAAATGTAAATAGAAATACACATGACCCAGCGATCTCTCTACTTGGTATATATCCCAAGGAAATAAAGACCAAAACACAAACAGATAAATGCACAAAAGCAAAAAGATGGAAACAACCCAAACACCCGTCTGTGGAGGAAAGGATAAACAAGCTCTGGTACACACACAACAGAATAGTATGCATCCCTACAAAACAGTGATAAACTTGTCAAACTCTTCCTAACATGGATGAATTTGGAAGACACTTCAATCAGCAAAGTTAATCTCATAGAGACAAATACAACATGAGACAATTATAAAAGAAAAATATCAAAATAAATGGTTTTCATACCAAATTTTGAAGGTTATGGGGAGGTTGGGTGAAGTGGGAATGGAAAGGAGGGGCAGAACAAGAAAATAAACACACACAGACACACAGTTCCTTAAGCAGGTGTCACTGGCCCCTGATCTACATGTCTTCATCTCCTTCTCAGGACTTGCTTTTGCCCTCCACTGGTTCCACTGGCTGCTTCTAGCTAAAGCCAACACCGTCAGCTGAACTCCCCTCCACCACAACCATGGGCACAGTTCCAGTCCCCACTGTCAGGTGATCCAAGCCTGGAACTGTCTGCTGTAACCAGTTAGTTAGGCCCAGGTCATACTCACAAGGCTACAGTCGTCTTTTCTGGCTTCCCCTCCTCCATATGTGCATCCCTGCCACCTCCTACATGAACCATTCTCTCTCACTGTGTGGAAGGAGCACTGCATTCGCCTGGCTCCCTCTACCTCACAGATCACTGCTCAGTCTCCTTGTCCTCTGCCCTCCCCCCAAAACGGTGGCCCCACGTTGATCTTAAATTGAAATTGCTCAGCTTTAGCAATTTCAGAATTTGACTATCTTCTCCAATCGACGACTTCAAGTTTTGGCCTACATTTCCGAAGCCAGCCAGAGAGGTTCCTTTCTGTGTATATACTGAATTAAAACTCAGCACTATGCAAACCAACTCCTCTCACTTCAGTCCCAAGATAAAACTGAGGGCCAGTTCTTGAGGTGTGGAGCCCTGACTCCCTCTGCACGATACTACCCAATCTGACATGTCTAGAACAGCAAACACAGGAAGAGTTTGGCAAAACTGCAAAGTCACTCCCAGTCTCTGGCATACTTATGCCAAGTCTGTTTACAGCAGCTTGTGTAAATGTTCCTGTGGGCTTTGGGACCATGTAGGTTTGAAATCATGAAACCATAAAGGACTTTGTAGTGTTGCTGCCAGGACCCCAAACCCAAGATCATCTCCTTCAGCCCAATCATGGTGCCCAGTTGAGGCCCTCACCAAGTCCTGTGCCACCAGCCCTGCGGCTCCAGCTCTGCTTTCCCTGCCCGTCCTCACCCATACACTGAAACATCTACAAACACACTAAAAATGAACCTCCCTTTCTCTGCGTATATCAAATGAAATACAATTTGTCACAGCAGCTAGAACCTTATGGTTCTAGCCCGGGCTCTTTTGCTACATACATGCGGCTCTGAAGTACAATTGAAAAAAAATTAAAAAGATATTATTCCGATAATTGTGATTTCATTTGTATATTTATGGCTCTAGAATAATTTTTAAATTGTTTTGAGGGACAGGATTGGCTCTTCCATCTCAAAAGCTTGCTGACCCCTGCTCTAGTTGATACTGACCCTGTGCACCCTTGTTAGCACCCATACTCCAGAAGAAGAGGACCACTGATTTTGCATACTGGAAACTTCCACAGGGCTACAGTTTCACTTTGACTTTACCCATCCCATCTGCATTCTGAGTCCTGACCAACCTCAAGGTGCATCACAGAATCTTCCACAAAGTGATAGCCTGTCCCTATTCATGAAACCACCAACAGACGCTGTCACTTCTGACATTCAACAGGCATCTCCTGCTTCTGCACCCTTGCGACTGCCTCTCCCATCTTTCCTTCGGGTCCACCACAGGACTCTTGTCTGAGAGAGAGGGTCTACACCCCATTCTGAGCACCCACTTGCGCTTCTCACAAACCTAGAGCTCAAAGTGTACATGGCCAGTGGTGGGTCACTGAGTATACGTGGACTGCACAGGCAGCACATGCAAATGTTGGGGACATGTTGTATCTAACCATAGCCTTGTGAGAACACAACTTCTGTTTGCTATTGGACATGGGCACAATGGTATGTCCAACAGGCACCAAGCAGCAGGCATGACAGCCAGGTTCAACCCCAACACACAACTATGCTAACTGACAGAGCCTGTGGCTTCACTTCAGTGCTCTGTCAGGCTCATCTCGAACGATCCCTTGTAAGTGTAGAAAAGTGGGAGTGTGGAGAGGGGAGAACCTCCTCCAGACTGTTCCCCAGAGATGAGTCCTCCAGATAAGTAACTTTCCACTCCAAAAAGGAAGTCAACCAAAAATTAAACATGTAGCATCCCTCATTCAGCCTACAATGTCTCTCCTTAGGAACTCTGGGTTCAATACCTGTGTGTCCAACCATTTTACCCCATCAGAGGTGTGTTCCACTTTTCCATAGAAGTGCACAGGAAGCATGTACTCAGGGCGTGCCTTCTCCCAGGGGTTGCCATAGCGCAGCCAGTCATCAGCCTCCTCCACCTGGAGGGGGCGCCATAGGGAAGGAAAGAAAAGGGTCAGGGCGCTGTCCCTGGGGCCAGCCCACACCCCGATTTGTGCATGAATTGTGCCATGGCAGAGGTCACACCAGAAACAACATGAAAGCCCATTGTAGGCAAATAAATTCTGGACTAATAAAATAAGCTTAGGTAAAATTCAGAAAAAGCTTAACGTGAAAAAACATTTAGAATCACTTGAAATTGGCAATAAATAGGACTGAAGTACTGATATATATCACAATATGAATGAACCTGTGTACAAAGTGACACTTTGTACATATTATCAAATTCCATTTATATAAAATATCCTCAAAAGACAAATCCATAGAGACAGATCATAGACTAGTGGTTGCCTGGGAGGGTGTATGATTACAAATGAGTGCAGGGTTTCCGTTTCGGTGATGAAAATGTTCTAGAATTTGACAGTGGTGATCGCACAACCTGATGGATATAACAAAAATACATGAGTTGCACACTTTACAGAGGTGAATTTCATGGAATGTGAATTATGATCAGTGAAACTGTTATAAAAAACTATCACTTGGAGCCCACAGTTTTTTCTCTTCTCCCTGGTGTCAATGAGGTGATGGGGTCCAGTGGGATTAGGGGCCAGCCTGCCAAGCAAATTGGTCCTTGGGAAGAATAAGTTTTGATTTTATTAGCATCAAACCACAGCTGATCAAGGCAGTCAAGATTACATTGGTGAAAAAAGCATAATCCCAAAATCACTTCTCCAACTCTATGACAGCCTGAGGAGGCTGGGCCCCAGGACCTGGGGTCCAGGACCCCACAGAGACAATGGTCTCTTACTAGGCTTTCTTCTTTGCAGTTCATTCTCCAAAACTCTACCCAATAGCATCCAAGACTGACAATAGCTATCTTCCTAAGCCCTCAAAGTCCTAAATTCTCAGTCTCACAGAGCTCTGTCCTTTCCACATTCAGGTCCATAGGAATACCAGCTTGTACACAGACGTCAGCTGATCTTCTCCTTTGTTTGACTTCCAACCGGTCTACCAGCCACCACAAGGAAATGATTTACAATGAGGTTACACAGGAGGCCAGCAACCACCAGTTCTATGCAGCGTCAATAATAGGTGATTAGGAGAAACCTATGTAGTCTTCAGGACCAGTGTAGTCCTGTTATACCTCCATATTGCCTGTATCTGGCATGAACTCACTTGAAGAAGGAGTTTAAAAGATAAAAAGTCAAACTAAAGTCTCCTGTTATTTCTTATTAAATGAGAGCTAGCGTCCACTGAAGAAATCAAACATCATCCACCTGCCAGCCATTGACAATCTTCTGGTTAAAAATCCCAAACTCGTAGCGGATTCCATAGCCATATGCCGCCAGTCCGAGGGTAGCCATCGAATCAAGGAAACAGGCTGGAAATTCAAATACAAAGAACTTGTTTGGATCAAAAGCTGCCAGCAGAATCCCGATCCAGATGTTAAGAGAAGCACTTTATCTACAAGGTGACATACAGTGATTCAGCAGTGACCACCATCAACTTCAGTTTGATGAAAGGGAAAACTAAAACCCCTCTCCTATAGCAAATAAGGAGGTCCAAAGGAATAGTACAATCACCAGTAGATATGGCTGTTATTTCACGGTAATCATGATCAGGGAAGCATTTTCAAAGTGTTTGTGAGCAGGATAGTATGATATGTGTGTGAGGGAGAGTGTGGTATATGTCTGTGTGCACTGTGAGTGTGTGTGTGCAGTATGTGTGTATAGTGTGATATATGTGGTATG